TTTTTATCATAAATAGGTGTTGGGCTTTGTCAAATGTTTTTCTGCATCTACTGACATGATCACGTGGTTTATATCCTTCATTTTGTATTATGTTAATTGGTTTGCAGATATTTACCAACCTTATACCCCAATAATAAATCTTATTTGATCATGGTGTGTGATCTTTTTAATATATTGCTGGATTAGGTTTGCTAATATTTTGTTGAGGATTTTTGCATCTATGTTTATCAGGGATATAGGCCTATAATTCTTTTATTTGTAGTGTTTTTATCTGGTTGTGAAATTAGGATAATGCTGGCCTCATAAAATATGCTTGGGAGTCTTCCCACCTCTTGAATTTTTTGCAATAATTTGAGAAAAATAGGTGTTAGTTCTTGGAATGTTTCGTAAAATTCACCTGTGAAGCCATCTGGTCCAGGACTTTTATTTGTTGGGAGTTTTTTCTTTTTATTACCACTCTGATTTCATTAGTTGTAATCAGTGTGTTCAGATTTTCTTGATTCCATTTTAGAAGACTGTATGTTTGTAGGTGTTCATCCATTTCTTCCAGATTGTCCAATTTGTTGGCATATAGTTGTTTGTAATATTTTTTTACAATTCTTTGTATTTCTGTGTTGCAGTTGTTACTTCATTTTTTTAAAATTAAAAAGAAATATCTCAAACTAACAATTTAAAATTTACAACTTAAGGAAATAGAAAAAAACAAAAACCTAAATCCAAAGCCAAGCAGAAGGAAGGAAATACTTTAAAATTAGGGCTGAGATAATAGAAAACAGAGAATAGAAAAACAATAGAGAAAATGAATGAAACCAAAAGTTGGTTCTTCAAAAGTATCAATAAAATTGACAAACTTTTAATTAGATGGACAAAATAATGAGAAGACTCAAGTTACAAAAATCATTAATAACAGTAAGTACATTTTTACTGGTCAAGAGAAATAAAAATGATTATAAGAGTATTATGAACAATTGTGTGCCAAAGAACTGGATAGATAAAACAAACAAAATCTAATAAACATAAAACCTACTGAGACTAAATCATGAAAAAATATAAAATCTGAAGACCTATAACCATTAAGGAAATTGAATCAGTAATCAAAACTCTCCCCCAAAAGAAAAGGGCCCTGATGGCTTCACTTGTGAATTCTACCAAACTTTAAAGAATACCATCCTTCTGAAACTTTTCCAAAAACATTTGAGAGGAAGGAACACTAACTCATTCTTTGAGGCCAGCATTACTCTTGTACCAAAGCCAGCCAAAGACATTACAAGGAAAGAAAATTACAGACCTTAAAAATGTGTGTCAGGAGAGAAAGTTGTGCAAATAATACAGAAAGAAGGAAAAGTGAGAAACTAGAAGGCCACAGAAGGCCACAGAGTGAGAATACCTTAGTATAGTTGGTTGAACAATAACTCCAAAATTCATATTCACCGGGAATCTCAGAATATGACCTTATTCGGAAAACAGGCTGTTTACACAGGTAATTTGATTAATATGAGATCATAGTGAGGTAAGGCGGGCTCTAAATCTAGTAAACAGTGTCCTTATCAAGAAGAGAGAACACAAAAACAGCATTTGAAAAGCTGATGTAAGAGGGAGGCGGAAATTAGAAGTATGTTGCTACAAACCAAGAAATGCCAGGAGCGATCACAAACGATAAGGCAAAGGATTCTTCCAGAGTTCTCGGAGGGAGTGTATATAGTCCTTCTGATACTTCGACTTTGAACTTCTAGCCTCTTAAACTATCAGAATACATTCCTATTGTTTTAAACCATCTATTTTGTAGTTTTGTTATGGCCCCAGGCAGTGGCTGACTTTGCACCTGGGGGGGGGGGGGGGGCGCGGCGTGGCTCCAGAGCCAGTGCACCTGATGGACAGCTTCAGACCATACCAGATTACAACTCTCCATATCCACAAGTGACACACGCAAGGGGTAGACTCAGTGAGCACTGAAGTCCCACTGAAGTAAGTTCTGCTCCACAGTGGTGTCTCCTACACAGCAGCTCTTCCCCTGTAGGTGCAGCTGGTCCTCACAGTGACGCTAACAGCAATCAAGGCTCAACTACAACAAGACTATGCATACAGCCCACACAGGGGCGCACGTAGAGTGTCCAGTTCAGGTGACTGGGAAGGCTGAGCCACTGGGCTCTACAGGACACCTACTACACAAGGCCACTCTACCAATTCCAGGAGACATAGCAGCCCTACCTAATACATAAACAAACACAGGGAAGCAGTCAAAATATGGAGACAAAGAAACATGTCACAAATGAAACAACTGAAGAAATCTCCAGAAAAAGAATTAAATGAAATGGAAGCAAGCAAACTACAGTGGAACTACAGTTCCACCTCGTTTCTCAAACTTAATTCGTTCCAGAAGGCTGTTCAAAAACCGAATCATTTTTTCCCATTAGAAACAATGTAAATTGAATTAATCTGTTCCAGACCCCCAAATGATTCCCTGTTTTAACCTTTCTTATATATAGTATATGTCTAATGTACTGTCTAATCTATAAACACTTTAAAAACAAAAAGGACATGAAATGAAAATGAAAATTTAACAAAAAGGAAAGAAAATGTACAATGAAAAATGAAAATAATAACAATTAGCAACAACAAAAGCAGAAAAACACGAAAATATTCACAGTACAATATCCTGAGATTTTAACAGTGGTTAACTGATTCATACTCGCACATTCTCTTCCTTGTCGCCTGAGAGACTTGTGACTGATCATATAACTATCAGCATGAAAGGGTTGTCAGGTTGAGAAGCGAGCTGCTCGAGATGGGAGACATCCGAGAATCGAGGTTTGACTACTGGATACAGATTTCAAAACAAAGGTTATAAGGTTGCTCAAGGATCTTGAGAGCTTCAAGAGACTCAATGAGAGCTTCAAGGGACTTAGTGAGAATGTCAAAGACATGAAAAAGCATACACTAACTGAAATGAATAATTTACAGAAGTTCAACAGTAGAGGATTCCGAGAATCAAATCAATGATTTAGAATATGAAGAAGCAAAAAACACCCAATCAGAAGAACAAAAAGAAAAAAGAATCCAAAAGTATGAAGATAATGTAAAGATCCTCTGGGACAACTTCAAGGGTACCAACATTTGAGAGACAGCAAGATACTGAAAACCTATTTGAAGAAATAATGACAGAAAACTTCTACCTGGCGAAAGAAATAGACTTCTAAGTCCAGGAAGCGCAGTCCCAAACAAGTGGAACCCAAAGAGGCCCACACCAAGACACATCATAGTTGAAATGCCAAGGGTTAAAGACAAAGAGAATCTTAAAAGCAGCAAGAGAAAAGCAGTTAGTTACCTACAAGGGAGCACCCATACGACTGTCAGCTGATTTCTCAACAGAAACTTTGCAGGCGGAAAGGGAGTGGCAAGAAATATTCAAAGTGATGATTAGCAAAGACCTATAACCAAGATTACTCATTTAGAATTAAAGGTCAGATAAAGAGCTTCCCAGACAAGAAAAAGTTAAAGGAGTTCACTACCACCAAACCAGCATTACATGAAATACTTTAAGAAGAGGAAAAAGAAGAAGAAAAGTATCAAAAATATGAACAATACATATCTATCAACAATTGAATCTAAAAATCAAAATAAACAAACAAGGAATCTAATGCACAAAATAAACTAAATCAGAACCAGAGACATGGAAACCTGAAACAGACTGATGAATCTCTGAGGGAAGGCTGGGAGGGGGTGGGAAGAGATTAACCAAAGATCTTATATGCATATATGCATTACCTATGGACACAGACAATAGGGTGGTGAAGGTCTGGTGGAGCGTGAACCAGTTGGAGGGGGACAATGGGGGGAAAAAAGAAGGACATCTGTAATAATCTCAACAATAAACATTTTCTTAAAAATGAGAGAGAATAATATACACCAAAAAAAGGTGACATATTTTCAAAAGAAATTTTTTAAAAAATTCTCTATACCTCTTTTTAGTAAAATAAATCTGTCATTTTCATAGGACTACCTGGTTGCCAGAACATAGTCCTACAACCTTTTCTGTTACTCCATACAAAGTATGTGTCATGTTACCTCTACTTAGTAAGCATACAAGAATATTAGGCAGAGGGAAGGCAGGGGAGGGTGTGGGGAAGGGGGAGAGATCAACCAAAGGACTTGTATGCATGCATATAAGCCTAACCAATGGACACAGACACTAGACACATATGTAATACCTTAATCAATAAAGAAAAATAAATAAATAAAATAAAAAATTTTAAAAAGATTAGAAATAACATTTAAAATTTAATCTAAAAATAAGAAAGAAAAATTACTTTAACCCAACACCTCTCTGTAAAGAAGATTTAAGTGTTTTAGCTACTTTATCAAAATTTATCTATTTTCAGTTTTTTTGCGAATTCTACAATATTGTAACAACTCTACCTAAGTTTCTCTGATTTAAATTGAAAACAAAATCTTTCAATGTAGAAGAAGCCTCAGTGAAAGATAAATCATTTATCTAAAGTTAGCACAGCAAAATTTGTTTGATAAGCCTCCAAATAAATCATTGCATGGCCTCCCTGGCCCTTCACCTGATTTTTTTTCTCTTAAGGGAACATCTAAGCTCTCATTCAGAATGCTGTAGACTGCACATTGCTATTGTCTCTCTTATCAAAATCAACCAGTTCTTCTCAACCTGCCCTGAAATGTTAACCCTCTGGAAAGCTCAAACATTCCATCCTTCTCTGCTACCCAATACCCACAGCAACTCAAGGAGGAGTTTGCAATTTTAATATGTTCCAAAAACAAGAGTTGAAAAATGACAAATTCAAGATGATGAGGGGAAATTTTGGAGGGTTTTCAAAAATGAAAAGACTGTGTCTTATTCCTGGGCTGTGAGAAATACAGTGCTACTAGCAATCTTCTTTTACACAATCTTAAGAGTTCATACATGTTAAACCTTTGATCGCTTAGGGTGGATTGCATGACCCCCACTTTATTACTGTTGCTAAAATAATGGTACCTACCCCGTATCTCCCAATCCATGAAGGAAAATCACCTGGAGGAAAAGAGGAAAAATTAATCAGCAATGCCTAGGTCAATCCACACGCCATTGTTACACGCTGCCGCTTTGGTTAAGGGAGAAGCCAGAATTACAGAACACCTCCTTCAGCAAGTTAACGCATCTCGACAGACCTCTCTCCCATGGCAAAAGGACTTCGCTTCCCTCCTTGTCCTTCCTAAGACCATTCAAGTGGGGCTTCGGCACAGAAAGAGGTCCCACCTTTTTAAGTGCAAATGATCACATTCTAAGACAAAGTCTCTTTCAAGTCAAACTATGAAAGGTCTCCTTTATACTGTAGAACTTTTCCATCACAAAAATCAACTTCCGGAGGTAAAAACAAGTTTGAGATCCTTAAGTACAGTTTCCTAAAAAAACAGCACCTCTGATCTTATAAGACAAGAAACCTCCGAACTTCTTTAATTTAGGATGAGAATGCAAGGTTAAGAAAGCAAAGTCTTCCGCATCCACAAACAAGACAGAAACATGCCAAAAAGCCACCTCGAGTGGGAGCGCCTCTGCACTAACGCAGGTCATTCCCAGCTGGGCCAGCGGCCGGGGGTC